CTACGTAGTAGTAGAGAGAGAGAGAGAGAGAGTAGTACGTACGTACGTTAACGTAACGTACGTAACGTACTACGTACGTAGTAGTAGTAGAGAGAGAGAGAGAGAGAGTAGTACTATTAGTTATTACTTATATTCTATGAGAGAGAGAGAGAGAGCATTTGTTATCTTTATATTTCTATGAGAGAGAGAGAGAGAGCATTTGTTATCTTTATATTTCTATGAGAGAGAGAGAGCATTTGTTATCTTTATATTTCTATGAGAGAGAGAGAAAGTGAGAGCATCAATTACCTTGATGTTTCAGAGAAACAGCTATGGACTCAAATGAGAGAGAGAGCATCAGTTACCTTGATGTTTCATGAGGTATAGTTATTGACTCATCTCTGTGAGAGAGAGATGTGGACTCATGTGACTGTTGTTGAACAGGGGAAGTATTCAGGGACATCGTAGGCAGCGCATATTACATAGCACCTGAGGTTTTGAAGCGAAAGTATGGACCAGAAGTTGACATATGGAGCATAGGAGTGATGCTTTATATACTCCTCAGTGGAGTCCCTCCATTTTGGGCAGGTGGGCAAGCCCCATAGTTTCTCTCACTAAATTTCAGTGCTAGAACCAAACAAGCAAAAATCAAGAGAGAGAAACTAGAAACATTAAAATTCTTTCATAGCCCTTTTTATCATCTTTTTAATCTAACAACTTGAAATGTATTTTCCAATACTCATGTTATTGTGTCAAATTCTACAGAGTCAGAGCACGGGATCTTCAACGCCATTTTGCGTGGCCAAATTGATTTCACGAGCGATCCATGGCCGTCGATCTCAGTCGGTGCCAAGGATCTTGTGAAGAAGATGCTTAACTCTGACCCTAAGCACAGGCTCACAGCTTTCCAAGTCCTCAGTAAGATCATTCCTTAGCTCATACGGTTCTCATTCTCAGTGATTTGTTCCTCGTATCTCAAAATTATTTTGCAATGAAGTTCGCTGGCTTGTACCCCTTCTTACCACCCATCTCTCTCTCTCTCTCTCTCTCTCTCTCTCTCTCTCATGCACGAGTCCATTTGCGAATGGTGAACAAAGAAACATGTTTCTAAGCTAGACTACCATAAACATAAGGATTTAAAATGATGAAAAAATATATGGGGACTTATCGCCTTACTGAAGGAAAGGCCTTTGTAAAGCATAATGGCGGATCAGAATTTATGCAGTTGATCCCAATTAGTTGAAAAAATGTTTTGACGATGATGATTTATAATTATCAGAAAGATAATACCACTCAAATGCAATTAAAAGCCATGTTAATTGAGTTCCTTCTAACTAAGAGCGTGCGGGTTGAAGGTCATCCATGGATTAAAGATGGAGAAGCACCTGATATTCCTCTTGACAATGCCGTCTTGAGCAGGCTCAAACAATTCAGAGCCATGAACAAGTTCAAGAAAGTCGCATTAAAGGTAAGGTCTCCTAAGCAATTCCCTAGCATAGTTCTCTATTTTCCAGCACAATATCATAACCACCCTAATTTTTGGTCTTTGTAAAACCACTGAACTTGCATTTTCCTGCATAACTAACAGTCACTGCAATGTTCTCATCAACAATTAACAGTGGTATAGTCCATATTAGTATAATTAAATGCGAATGGCACTATTTTTATTCGTAGTTACTCTGAAAATGAACGACAAATGCACAGAATTCTTTACAAATTATTGTCCATATCAAACTCAAAAGATTATAACATTTAGTGTATTAATGTGGTGGACAGGTCATAGCAGGGTGCTTATCAGAAGAAGAGATTATGGGATTGAAAGAAATGTTCAAGAACATGGACACTGACAACAGTGGAACAATCACACTTGAGGAATTGAAGCAAGGCCTCTCAAAACAAGGAACTAAGTTGTCAGAGTACGAAGTCAAACAGTTAATGGAAGCTGTAAGTCTTTCTGTCCTTTCACGGACGTATGCACGCATGTCTATATATCCATGCACAATTCTCTGGACATATGTAGATGTTTTCTTAACTAGGCATACCATATAAACATATTCATCCATAACATCACTCTGCACAAATGAGTACATAGATGCATTATTATACCAAAAACACAGTTTATCCATGGGGCTTATGAATGTATGCGTATGCATTAATAAATTTCCATGCGCACTAAAATGCACATCATCTTTTCCATTCAACTCCACTCCTTGTAATGTACGTTTTCATATTTTACAGGCAGATGCTGATGGCGATGGAACCATTGACTACGACGAGTTCATTACGGCGACCATGCACATGAACAGGATGGATAGGGAAGAACATCTCTACACTGCGTTCCAATACTTTGACAAAGATAACAGTGGGTATGTACAGATGTCTCTAGAAACAAATTACAATGATTCTGTCACAAACATGGCTCTGCTAAGAAAATAAAAAAGCTATATTCACCTTTGTGAGAGATGTGAAATCAAAATTACATCTGAAACTCAGAGACGCAAATAAATTTTCTCATCAGTTCCTTAATTGTTTACCTTGCATGAATTGAATTTCGAGTAGAGTTAGGGCAAATTTAATCTTAAATCCAGAAGTTTCAATCCCAATCTGAGCCTGAGGGGTTTCTTGATCTGAAACTTCAAACTTGCATTTTGTTCCATCAGGTACATCACCCCGGAGGAACTAGAGCAAGCATTATTGGAATACGGCATGCATGATGGCAGAGATATCAAGGACATTCTCTCTGAAGTAGATGCAGATAACGTAAGTCAAAGAATATCTCTCTCTCTCTCTCTCTCTCTCTCTCTCTCTCTCTCTCTCTCAGTTAAACTAGAATTTTGATGCATTTAGGATGGGAGAATCAACTACGATGAGTTTGTGGCAATGATGAGGAAAGGGAACCCAGAGGCGAACCCAAAGAAACGACGTGACAAGTTTGTCTGATCATATTTTTGATACCTGCCCATGACTTTTGAAGAAGCAATTGTAATATTAGTGGCGGTAAGGAGGGTTCATTCAATGTATTTTCATGGCGGGGTTTTGGTTAGTGAAATTCATGCACAAATCTAACTGATTTGGATGAAGGGAAAGAGGTGAGAGGGGGGAGAGGGAGGTGAGAGAGGGAGAGATTTGGGGGGAGGGGAAAAGGGGCCAGTTAAAACTTATATACTAGTGTGGAATGGAGAGTGGTTGTATCTGTTTCTGTTTCTCCCTTTATTGTCCCTCTTTCCATGTATCTTTCAATTGTTAAGGCAATGATTCAACCAATGCCTTCTAGCAGCACATCCTAAATGTTAGGGTTTCATAAAGGACATTGGACATTAACTATTTTCATAAGAATAACCATCCTGACATTGATGAGTAAGAATATTTACAAAATATCAAAAAAACAGAAGACAGATTACACGGATGAGTACTCTTTCTTCCTCTACTAAATATGACGGGTGCATATGGCAAGAAGGTCCACAAATATGGCACAAAATTTCAGTGGCATAAGTTTTGTAGCATGCATAAGTCACCATACAATTGGAAATACAAATGGGAATACTGAACGTATTATTCAATCTTGCCATAAACCAACACGTCAATGCACAATTGGAAGAACCATGGATGGTTTAAGCCAATACTAGAGATATAGCAAAGTCACCCAATTAGGCATGTCTCTTATTTCTTTCTCAGTACAGTGCCTTACTATCACTATAGATTCACATCCCATGACAATAATAGAAAAGGAATTCCTTACATCAAGCTTAAAACACAACACAGGTTCTACAGATCAACAAAAACAGAGTAAAACATCGGGCATAAACAGAAAAGGATTACCTGAAGCTGATAAAAAATTCCTTAATAAATGGTCAACCTGCTCATAAAAAACCAGTAACAAAATCACGCTATCTCCTGTTTTCGTATCAATACACAGGCACATTTGCCTCAACAAGATCAGCCGGGTAATTTGCTGAAGCTTCATCGGCAGGTACACCAGGTGGGTTTGGCTCTGAATAACCCTGAGAGTTCAAATCTGAGCTATTATTATTATTGCCATAAGAATCAAAGTATGAAACATTTCCTTTAGAAGAGTTTGAAGGGGTTCGAAGCTCTTTTTCCCCATGAGCAAAGTGGCACTTTTCGCCAAATCGGCAGCCCTCAGAAGTGCCGAAGCGATTGCAGAGCTTTGTTTTGTAGCCATTGACTGTGAAGCTTGGGTCTCCTACTGGTCCAGAGGGTTTCCTAATGGAGGAGGCAGCCGTGCCAGAGGAGAGAAGGTTTAGAGCTATGGAACTGACCCCTCCTGGAGCATAATGAAGGAAATGGCAAGCCTCCCCAAATTGACAACCAGATGTACTGCCCAGTAGTAACCAACTCAGTTAGGGAAACAAAACAAAAGAGCCACTAGAGTGTTTGTGTGTGTGAAAGAGAGAGAGAGTCTTGGTTCTGCAGTAAAT